GCTACAGAGACAAGCGGGAACCACAGGAACTTCTGTCATGAGTATGGGGAAGCACTGCCTCTAGCTAAGCTGGAGGACACAGCCTTCTGTTTCGAGTGTGTGGAATGGAAGAGGAAAAATAAAAAGAAGGTGTTGAAAAGAGTGAGGAAAGAAGAGGCTGAGTCTGAATTTGATTAAATGGCGATAAAAAGGGAGATGGTGGTAAGTACAAACAGAGGAAGAAGTACGCCAGACCGAGTTATGGAAGTGAAATGGAAGTGAAGGTGGGCAATTTAAAGGAGGTGGAAGGTGTTGCGAAGAGCTTCAAGTCCAAGCCTTGCGTCGATGGACATGATAAAGAAGAATCTGGTCCAATAGGAGTGACATTTTTGGAGAAAGTGGATCCTTGCCTTTTGGCGGATCCATTTATGTTTTCAGGGTGGGTGGGGTTAAGGAGTTGGGTGCAGTTGAATCAGTGAGGGTAACTCGTAGTGGACTTGTGATTTTTGTTTGTGTTTCTTCTGCCCAGAGGGAGTGGGCGCTCCGTGTCACGTAACTTGGGTCAAGATCTGTTTCTTGCTTTGCTCTTAGGAACAGGGCGCCCGTTAAGTGTGGAGGTGGAGCAATTGAAGTTGAAGATTCCCGGTGTGTGACGCCCGCCGTTGTGTGCGACGCAGACCTGGTGGTGAGCGTAGTGAAACAGAGGAGTCACTGTCAGTCCTTTTGAGGTTTGAGTCTTTACCCAACAAAGTCTAGTTAGGATATATCAGTTATTTACCTTTTATTTCAGTATCTCTATGCACACTCACACAAACTGTCACTCCAACACACACACAAACACTCATTTTGTCACTCACAACATTGGTGAGCACTAACACACCGCAGACCCGACCTTTTGAGTTTGAGCTGCTTACCTTAAATCTATTAATATTCAGTTATTTACTTTCTATTATCAGACCTCTATCCAAGACGACTGTCACAAACAGCACACAACCTATTTTGTCACATAACCACTTTACATGATTTACCTCGAGCGGCTCGACTGAAGTGGATACTTTATCTACCTTTATTCCTTTAAGTAGTCTAGGTTCCAATGTAATGGTGGTTGGATGACTTTTAATCGTGCCTTCGGACGTATCTGAGCTGACTTTTTCCAGACGTACACCTTGGGTCCAGCAAAGAGTTATTGGTTTTGCCCATCAACTATGCTGCATAGAAGGGTAGCTAGCAGGCTAGAGGTGGATGACATGCTGTTGGTGGGTTGGATGCTAGGCCTATGGTACGCATAGTCCTTTGCCTATATAAGTTCCCTGGCGCAGTGGTTAAATGGCTTTGACGATGCTTAAATGCTAGTGCCCTAAGATTTTCGACCCCTTTACGCTCCACAATGGGTTCGACAGCCATTCGTTAGGGTTAAATGGCCGGCATATGTAGATTAGCTATGGGTTGCAAGCCAGGTTGTGTTATGTGGTTATACATGTGTGGCTGAGGGGTTGAGTGATCATTGCTATTGTCCACATATCGGTGACCCGATCCTGCAGGTTCATGCTCTACAACATTCGCAGAGTACGACCCTACCTTACACAGAAAGCGGCACAGGTCCTAATCCAGGCACTTGTCATCTCCGTCTGGATTACTGCACTCGCGTTGGCTGGGCTCCCTGCCTGTGCCATTAAACCCCTGCAACTTATCCAGAACGCTGCACCCCGTCTGGTGTTCAACCTTCCCAAGTTCTCTCATGTCACCCCGCTCCTCCGCACACTCCACTGGCTTCCAGTGGAAGCTCACATCTAACACAAAACCATGGTGCTTGCCTACGGAGCTGTGAGGGGAACGGCACCTCCTTAACTTCAGGCTCTGATCAGACCCTACACCCAAACGAGGGCACTACGTTCATCCACCTCTGGCCTGCTAGCCCCCCTACCTCTACGGAAGCACAGTTCCCGCTCAGCCCAGTCAAAGCTATTCGCTGCTCTGGCACCCCAATGGTGGAACAAGCTCCCCCACGACGCCAGGACAGCGGAGTCACTGACCACCTTCCGGAGACACTTGAAACCCTACCTACCTGGAATAGTATAAAAGTAATACTTCTACTCCCCCCCCATAAAAAAAAGAAGGTTGACGACATCCGATCCTCGTTTGTTAAGTCAAATGACACTGCTGGTCCTGCTCACACTGCCCTACCCTATGCTTTGACTTCTTTCTCCAGATAAAATCTTGCGACTTGTGACGGCCGGCCGACCAACAACCTGCCCGCTTGACCCTATCCCCTCCTCTCTTCTCCAGACCATCTCCGGTGACCTTCTCCCTTACCTCACCTCGCTCATCAACTCATCCTTGACCGCTGGCTATGTCCCTTCCGTCTTCAAGAGAGCGAGAGTTGCACCCCTTCTCAAAAAACCAACACTCGATCCTTCTGATGTCAACAACTACAGACCAGTATCCCTTCTTTCTTTTCTCTCCAAAACTCTTGAGCATGCCGTCTTTAGCCAACTCTCTCGCTATCTCTCTCAGAATGACCTTCTTGATCCAAACCAGTCAGGTTTCAAGACTGGTCATTCAACTGCTCTTCTCTGTGTCACGGAGGCTCTCCGCACTGCTAAAGCTAACTCTCTCTCCTCTGCTCTTGTCCTTCTAGACCTGTCTGCTGCCTTTGATACTGTGAACCATCAGATCCTCCTCTCCACCCTCTCAGAGCTGGGCATCTCCGGCGCGGCTCACTCTTGGATTGCATCCTACCTGACCGGTCGCTCCTACCAAGTGGCGTGGCGAGAATCTGTCTCCGCACCACGTGCTCTCACCACTGGTGTCCCCCAGGGCTCAGTTCTAGGCCCTCTCCTATTCTCGCTATACACCAAGTCACTTGGCTCTGTCATATCCTCACATGGCCTCTCCTATGATTGCTACGCAGACGACACACAACTAATCTTCTCCTTTCCCCCTTCTGATAACCAGGTGGCGAATCGCATCTCTGCATGTCTGGCAAACATATCAGTGTGGATGACGGATCACCACCTCAAGCTGAACCTCGGCAAGACGGAGCTGCTCTTCCTCCTCGGGAAGGACTGCCCGTTCCATGATCTCGCCATCATGGTTGACAACTCCGTTGTGTCCTCCTCCCAGAGTGCGAAGAGCCTTGGCGTGACCCTGGACAACACCCTGTCGTTCTCCGCTAACATCAAGGCGGTGACCCGATCCTGTAGGTTCATGCTGTACAACATTCGGAGAGTACGACCCTGCCTTACACAGGAAGCGGCACAGGTCCTAATCCAGGCACTTGTCATCTCCCGTCTGGATTACTGCAACTCGCTGTTGGCTGGGCTCCCTGCCTGTGCCATTAAACCCCTACAACTCATCCAGAATGCCGCAGCCCGTCTGGTGTTCAACCTTCCCAAGTTCTCTCACGTCACCCCGCTCCTCCGCACACTCCACTGGCTTCCAGTTGAAGCTCGCATCTGCTACAAGACCATGGTGCTTGCCTACGGAGCGGTGAGGGGAACGGCACCTCCGTACCTTCAGGCTCTGATCAGTCCCTACACCCAAACGAGGGCATTGCGTTCATCCCCCTCTGGCCTGCTGGTCCCCCTACCTCTGCGGAAGCACAGTTCCCGCTCAGCCCAGTCAAAACTGTTCGCTGCTCTGGCACCCCAATGGTGGAACAAGCTCCCTCACGACGCCAGGACAGCGGAGTCACTCACCACCTTCCGGAGACACTTGAAACCCCACCTCTTTAAGGAATACCTGGGATAGGATAAAGTAATCCTTCTACCCCTCCTTACCCCACCCCAAAAAACTAAAAAAAACAAAAAAACATACATATTGTAAAGTGGTTATCCCACTGGCTATAAGGTGAATGCACCAATTTGTATGTCGCTCTGGATAAGAGCGTCTGCTAAATGTCGTAAATGTAAATGTAATGTCATTTAGCAGACGCTCTTATCCAGAGCGACTTGGGAGGCATTGGATCAGCGTTCTTGTGGCGTCTCCTGTTAGTACCTTTTATTTAGGGAAGCTAATGATCCATCATGTATGACATTCCTGGGAGTGTGTAAACTTTATTTTTTTATTACCATAGCATTTTTCTATGTTCTCTATAGTTTTGTACTTGAAAATGTATCAATTGACCAATTCGGCCACTTGGAGGACACTTGGGTACATTTGGACAAACTTGTGAGGGACACATAGGAGACTTCATACTAAATATTATGTAGCTCTCATTCTTGAATGTATGTATCAGTCTGAAACTTTGCACACACACTTTTGCCCTGTTGTGGACAACATCTAAATTATCCCCAGCTTCCTATCTCAATGTATGGCCTTTCTTTTGCATTTCAAAGATGATGCAATAAAAATTGAAAACACATGTTTTTTGTTAGTTTTATCTTTTACCAGATCTATTGTGTTATATTCTGCTACATTAATTTCACATCTCCACAAACTTCAAAGTGTTTCCTTTCAAATATTATCAATAATATACACAACCTTGCTTCAGGTCCTGAGCTACAGGCAGTTAGATTTGGGTATGTCATTTTAGGTGGAAATTGAGATGAATGGTCCTATCCAGAAGAGGTTGACCTCACAGAAGGAGAAGAAGAAAACTAGGCGGAACAAACTTTCCTGGAGTAGCATTTCTCTCTCGGTGTGTTTGAAGACGCACAAACTTCCTGCAGAAAAAATCGAACTCATTCAAGGATCTAGAGCTGGAGGTAGTAGTACACTATTCTCATTCTTGACTGCCCAAAGTAAGATTTGTAATGTGAAGCCAATGGTATGTTCTACTATAGTTGAATGATTCATACATAATGTTGTAATAGTGTCATCGTGTGTACCCAAGAATTGTGGTTTGCTAGCTTGGTTGCTAGCTAACGTTAGCTAACTGAACCAAAGTCGGTGTTACATCAAAATGTGTCCTACCTAGATGCACGTTTCCGCACGCGAGATAGCGCTGCATTTTGTTTTAATTACATATTCCCCATTTTCTGTATTCAGTTGTCTCTACGACAATATTTTATTGTTTACAGATATAAAGTCCTTAAGATGTTTTTGACCAGATCGGAGTACGACAGGTAAGACTTGGAACTCCGTCTCGTCATGACACCACTGTCAACAGGCTAGCTAACGTTACAGTAGCTATCTAGCCACAATGGCATAGCTTGCCCAAATATTTTTATAACTAAACCATAATATGTGGCTTGCCCGTACGACAACACAGGTTAACTCGCCATCTATAAGCTAACTAGTTTAGCTTAGTTGGCTAACAGTAGGTGGTTCGTGCACTTGTTGTGCATGGTAAACATTTGCGTGTATGAATCCTTCTTTACCGGTGTAGTGGCATGCTGGCTAATGTTGGGAAACTAGCTAGCTACAAAATGTATTTCACTCAGCTAATTTGAAATGTTCATGCTCCACAGTCTGGTGTATTTTGTACTAAGAAATTAGCTACCTCACTACCTCCATTCTCCTAGAAAGCACTAACTAACATGCTAAAAACATTGTATGGCTGGCTACATTCTTAACTTTACTGACAGAATAGCTAGGTGTTGGAACTTTAGGACACTAAATCATCTCATCTTTTTTCAGAGGAGTAAACACATTTTCTCCAGAGGGACGACTGTTCCAAGTGGAATATGCTATTGAGGCTATTAAGGTATTATCAAAACATGATGCAATATCACAAGAACACGGAAAATAGGCAACGGCGCGTCATCTCTATATATTACTATCTAACAAGATTTTGAACACACTCCTGTTCTCTCACAGCTGGGCTCCACAGCCATTGGCATCCAGACATCTGAGGGGGTGTGTCTGGCCGTGGAGAAGAGGATCACGTCTCCTCTGATGGAGCCCAGCAGCATCGAGAAGATCGTGGAGATCGACACCCATATCGGTAAGCAGCCAGAGCAGGGACAACTCACTAGGCAGGGACAGACACTGTCAAACAACACACAGAAGTGAACGCTCATATTAGAGCTCAGGTTGTTTTAGAAGTTACATGACCTGCCCCTGGTCTATGGAGTAAACCAAGTGTTCAGTCATTCTTCCTGGGGAAATTAAGGTAACTAGATGAAGCGGTTAGTCAGATTTATTTTGATAGGCTTTTTGTATCCGACATTATTGTTGAGATGAGCATTCCACTTTGTTCAAAAGAGGCCTTGTATAGGACATGTTTCAGACAGTCTGATATTATTCAAAGTTGTTTGAACTTTTCACCTAATGCTGTCTATCTCCACTCCTGAAAGGTTGTGCTATGAGTGGCTTGATAGCTGATGCCAAGACTCTTATCGACAAAGCAAGAGTGGAGACACAGGTATGTGCAAGTCACGTGTCAAACTCATTCCACGGAGGCCAGAGTGTCTGCAGGTTTTCACTCCTCCCTTGTACTTGATTGATGAATTACGGTCACTAATTAGTAAAGAACTCCCCTCACCTGGTTGTCTAGGTCTTATTTGAAAGGAAAAACCAGCAGACACTAGGCCCTCCATGGAATAAGTTTGATACCCCTGGTGCAAGTGATGAGTGAGCTGAATTCAAGTACAAGGGTGCGTTCAGTTCGCTTGAACGTTTGCTACGTTGCAGAACGGTTTGTACTGAACAACACGTTTTCCCAAAGCTTTCTTGTACGTTCTTGAAAAGACTGAAATATATTTGCTCCGTTCGGTGGGTGTGCCCGGGTGTGGCTTGAAGCAATGAGTGATGTATTTAAGAGCAGTGGTGCATTTTGAACCCACAACCCAACCCCTCACGGTTTTTCAACTGGTCGTTCAGTACAGCACCGTTTCTGTTCAATTGAACATTCTATTAAGTTTTGATATATAACTCAGCCCTGGTACATATTCAACCTTAACATTCCTACACTGTTGGGGCGAAAATGAACAGCTGACAAATGTTTGCACTTATGAGATGCACACTACAACTACTGTCGTCATAGTTCCTCAACTACATAATATGTATGGCATTTTAGTTCCTTGCTTTTTAACCCTACTCTGTTTGTCCCCTTCCAGAACCACTGGTTCACCTACAACGAGACCATGACAGTGGAGAGTGTGACCCAGGCCGTGTCTAACTTGGCCCTGCAGTTTGGAGAGGAGGACGCAGACCCTGGAGCCATGGTTAGTAGAGGGGACAAAATCCTGCGCTCAGACCAATTTAATGATCATTCATCAATGTTGAAAGCACTTTTTCAGTTATCACTTATTTCTCCTACCGCTGTGAGTTGTCACACTGTAGTCATTCCCTGTGGTTCTTTCCCCTCAGAGCCGACCCTTCGGTGTAGCGCTTCTCTTTGGAGGACTGGACGAGAAAGGGCCCCAGCTGTGTGTTACGTTTATTTTTAACATTTTTATATGATATAATTGGTTTGTGCTAAATCTCTCACGCCTCACTTTTAATCAAGAACCTGTGCTGATTTTTCATCAGCAAATATAAAAACCAAATCTGCAGTCTTCATCAGTTAGAAAACTACACCCCCTGATCTTCCAACTTTTGTGTGTGTAGGTACCACATGGATCCGTCGGGCACCTTTGTCCAGTGTGATGCACGGGCCATCGGCTCTGCCTCTGAGGGAGCCCAGAGCTCTCTGCAGGAGGTCTACCACAAGGTACCACGACCCCCCTCCTCTCCTAACCACCATCCTCTCCTGTCACTTTCCACTCCATCACCCACCAACCTTCTCCTTCATTACTTCCTTCTTCCCTCCATAACCCACCATTCCTTTTTCTTCTTCCTCTCCCACCATAACTCCACCAGGTTGCTAGTCCACGTTTCACACAGTTTCCATCCTGTCACAAGCTCTTTATTAACCATGACCTCTGTTTTCTAACCCTGGCTGTCCTCTCCAGTCCATGACGTTAAAAGACGCCATCAAGTCTTCCCTCACCATCCTAAAGCAGGTGATGGAGGAGAAGCTGAATGCCACCAACATCGAGGTGTGACTCTTGCTTTTGACCAGTTCTTGGCCTACCAATATTGGAATATTGTTCACACACATCTTTGGGTGCTTTGTCGCTGAGAAATTCAGGTCTGCTCAGCCTCAGTCCTGGAGGGACTAATATTCCTGTTTTACTGCTGTGCCAGCTATCGTTAGGGTGATGGACAGCAATGAACCACAACATATCACATACGTGTTTGTGTGCTAACCTGCTTTCCCCTCTCTCAGTTGGCCACAATAGAGCCAGGCAAGACCTTCCACATGTACTCCAAAGAAGAGCTGGAGGATGTTATCAAGGACATCTAGAGCAGAGTGTGGGGCTCTTGTGGGCCTAGTCAGCGCAGAGGAGAGCTAATCCACCCAGGCTCTGAGTCTCCATACTGCAGATTACTGCTTTCTTGTCTCCATACTGCAGATTTCTACTGTTCAGTACAGGCATCAGTCAGATCAGTGCTTAGAGCTGAGTGACATAAAAAAATGGGGGTACTTTTTGTTACGGATCCATGCGAAAATAAAACAGTTGTATTCTAAAAAATAGTGGTTTGTGTTGTTGCCTCTGGTGTGTACTTTGATGGTTTCATGAACAAAATCATACAGGTTGGTGAGGTTGACTAACTTGATCTGGTTTTGTCTGCCAGGAGGGCCTAAATATTCCACAGAAGTTTGCTCCAAATGGGAAGAACCAGGAATGAAAATACTAATCTACAGTCCAATGAAAAGCCATTTCAAAGAATTCTCAACCAAACATCTTTCTAGGCGTCTCATTTTAAAATGCTCCACAATCAACTTTTCTGTTCTGTGCACCAGATGAACTGCACACATGTCGCCTACGTTTGGTAGTCTAAATCAGGGGTACTCAACTACTATTTGAGAAGGTCCAGTGACACATTTCCTAGGTGGCAAAGGTCCGGATGGATATCGTCCTTTATTGGCGCTGTGGTACAGCGTAGTAACAAACAGTACATTAAATACATTAAATGAGACTAAGAATTTGAATTAATTACAACTTCTTTCTAAAGTAAACGTGCAACATTGCATTAACATTGCTGAAGAACAAAAGTGGTTGCATAATTGTCTATGCAAAAAGTGCACTGTGAACCATTGTAACTGGGCCTTGAACTCAACATTTTTTTGTATAAAATAAAGTGCATGTTTTCTGGAGAGCAAAGGAGAGTTTAACAAAAATAATAATCTGAATGCACAGAATGTCACTGTGGGCCATGCAATATTCATGTGTAAGTCACTCTGGGCCTTGCCCTGCATTAATGAGAGAAATAACTTTGAACTTTGGCACAAATGGTGTGAGAGCAACTCTGAGACACTGGTGCAGGTGTTCATTGGTGAGCCTGGTGCGGTATTTGTTTTTAATAAAGTTCATTGTGGAGAAGGCTGATTCACAGCTGTATGTGGAGCCAAACATGGTCAGGATGTATAGTGCCAGTTTCTTGAGAACAGGGACATCAGCTGCAGGCACCATATATCCCCAGAAAGTGACAGGGTCACAATCACCCGCCTGCTCCTTCAAAGCCACATTTTCTTGCAGCTCAATCAACTCCATTTGCTGTGATGCAACATCTACTCATCTGAAGATCTGTTTTGCTTCTTCTAACAAATTAGTGACCAAGAAAGGGTTCTGGATGAGCAGCAGCAGTTCTCTTCCAACAGTGAAGTATCCATCAGCTTTGTTGGGAACATCTTTGTCTCCCTGCGTTTGCACCAGAAGATTGGGGAAGTGGACAAGTTCTCCCTGGAGATCATTCTTGATAAGTTCCAATTTCTTCTGGAAAGCTAGACTGCTGTTATCATATCACACAATTTTATCCCGTCCCTGCAGCTTAACATTCAGTTGATTAAGGTGTGATGTAATGTCTGTCAAAAATGCAACTGTTTCCATCTTCTCATCTTCCAAAAACTCAGAAAACTGAGTTGCCTTGTCACTTTGAACTCAGAATACTCTTTTCCCAGACTGGCACACAGGACAGATTGATGGATGATGCAATGATATGTCAGGTCAGGGTGGTCCTCTTTCAAAGTCATCAAAATTGGCATTGGCCTCTGTCCGAATGCCTCGTAGCAGGCGGTGTTGTAGGGATGATGTTGCTCTCAAAAAGTTGATCAGTTTCATCATCGTTGTCATGACCTCAGAATACTATTTTCCCAGACTGGCACACAGGACAGATTGATGGATGATGCAGTGATATGATGTCAGGTCAGGGTGGTCCTCTTTCAAACGTGCAACCAGTCCCCTCCCTCTTCCTATCATGGCTGGAGCTCCATCTGTGGTGATGGAGACCACTGACTTCAGATCTATCCCCCTTTTTGTCAGCATCCCTTTGATGGCCTCATGGATATCCTCTCCCCGCTTGTGTGCTTATAGATTTGTTAAGCCGAACAGCTCCTCACAGAATTCCTTCTTTGTTTCGTTATAAAATCTGACAAACACCAGAAGCTGGGCATTATCAGTGTTATCTGTTGATTCATCCACAGCTAATGAAATGCTTGGTTCATTCTGAACGGCCTCATCAAGTTGTGAAGTTAAATCTTCAGCTAATATTCAGAGCTGCCAACTCTCACGCTTTCGCCGTGTGACACACGTTTTTGCCTGTTTTCACACGCACTCACGCCACACATCCAATAGGCCCTTTTCACGATGACGTCATCTAACTTCCGCCTTTCCGCGTAGCAGGTTAACTTCACTTCCGTTCGCCCGTAACCTGAGACTTCTCAACGAAAATACAACTGTTGACCACTAACTAGCAAGCTAGCTACTTGAAGAAATTCCAAAAGGTACGTTTAAGTTAAATTAGTAAAGTTAAGAGTAATAATGTTTACGTATATGCAATGGTTTGTAACTTGCTAACGTTATTGTTAATTCATAATTGTTCACTGCCTTAGTTACTTAAAAGTGGGCTAACGTTAGCTAACAACAACTTAGTACCAGATACCGATAACGTTAAAAGGTAGCGTTACATTGCTGCCTGGCTGTAATGTAACAAGTTTACTTAGCTAGCTATCTAACCCTTTGTTAGGCAGTTAGTTTATTCATGAATGTATAGTAACTCACCTATTCAAATACTGTTGTGCATGATAGCTAGATAAATATTGATTCCTGGTCAAAGCTGAATGTTAATTTAGCTGTTTCTTTTCTCCCGGTGTCTGTATCGCAACAGTATCCCATCCAACACCGAAGCATGGCCCAAAACCCAATTTCTTTTTTTAATTAAGAAAAATTGGCTGTTCTGAAACCTTTGACAAGTAGTGCCAACACTGAACACAGTGAACATTTTGAGTTATCACAGAATCTTTCCCAGTCTTTATTGCCGTCAACAACCCACATCGGTTTGTAAGAATTTCGTTGTGTATTAAGTTTAATGATACAAAATCAGAGCTCAGACTGAGAAACAAACTGATCCACAGTGGAACTTTGTGGAATCATTCTTATTAAATCTGCAACCGCAGCAAAACACAACAAAAAGAAAACTTATCTATCTTAACCTATCTTATCATAATGTTAGAGAACTGTTTATCTGAGAAACCTGAAGCCGATGAGCCTCCTCATTTTTCTTCATGGACCTGTAACATCGCCCTCTCACTGTCACCTCACCGTTAACTACACTTGAGACTGTTTCAATACAGTGATTGGGAGAAAGGGCGCAGCATTAGCCATTAATACATTACTGACTCTTATCTTACGGTCGATACAAACAGCAGTAATATTAAAAAGAGGCTGCAAAACAGAAACTCGTCAGCTCATAACCTTCGCTAGCATAGGGCTAATTTAAGCTAAATAAAGATAAACACGTACCTTCATAATCAAACAGGTAACCTTCAACGAAGAACTTGTAGCCTTTATCAAGCTTCGATCTTGAAGTAAGGGACCACTTGTCAGCAAGTCGTTCTACGTCGTTAAGTCGTATTGGTGGCAGATGTGAAAGGGACTGGGTGAACTCCATAATGATGTGCTACTAGCTAAGCGTTCCTAAGCGACACCGGATGTAAACATAACCTGCATCGCGGCAGAACGGAAGTTGTCTGACGTCACGTGAAAAGGGCCTATTTCTCACGCAAAAAAAATCGGCCGAGACTCGTTCGTTCCTTTTTTCAAACTCCCCGACGGTAGATGGCGCTGATGAGCGCCACTGAACCATATGCGCTGCACCCCGAAGTTAGTGACAGAAGAAGAGATACTATTGCCGCTAAAGACAACAGGAGAAGAAACGGTCACTACCTCAAGAAGTCTGATAAGAAGCTGAGCTGAGACTAGGTATGTAACAATGAAATGTCGTCCAATTGAGTACTCACTCTCTTAAACTTTAAATCTTGAAAGAAATTATTTGTTTGTGCGTGTGAACATGATTTAGTGTGGTGAATGTAAACTCAGCTGATTTCGAACAGGTAAGATGTATTCCAAAGAATTTAACATAAATACAGGAAATGTGTGCAATAGAAGTAGACTTGTGCAGACATTCACTGACCCCATGACAGAAGTGTACCTGCTGTTCTTCCAAGCCACCGTACCAACTTTCACTTCTTTCAACTTGCTGCTTCAGAGAGAGCAGTCATCAATATTTTTGTTACATGATGAGGTGGGATTGGATTTTGCTGTTTTTTTTTCTTTCCATTCTGTGTTTCTTGCTGATATCTGCAGGGAGCCTCTAAAACAGGTTTCACCTACTATTTTTGTAAATGTCTGTTATAGAAATTCGTACGCAAGCTATGTTCCAAGTTTATGGTTCCAGAAGCTCTGCAGTGCCATGAGGAGCCTTGTGAAATTGCCTTTAAAGAAAAGGCAAACCATTTACCAGGTTAGTATTTGACTATTATTATGATCAAACACTGTGATATGTGATATTTAGCCTTGTACCTTATACCGATATGCTGTATCTGTGACAGGAAGAAAGTTGAACATTGGGTTCACAACCAGGGCTAAATTTAACAGATTACTCGATGAGGGTGACATCACACCACAGCAGGTGGATTCATTCCATGAAGCTGTGTTGTGTTTCCTGACAAGTGCTGTGGACTATGCACTTAAGAAGCTGCCACTGGAAGAGCCACTGATCAAGCACGCACAATTTGTAGATGTACGGCAGAGGGCTGAAAGTGACATCGAAGATGTCCTGTACTTTGTTGAAAGGTTAGTTTTTTTTCTCTAATTATTGTCTGTTATCTTAGCTAAAATACCCTGTGTTTTATGATGAGGTGTGTTCACTCCTAAACTGCACATGAGATATTCTTATGTGGCTTCTCCTCAAAGATGTGTATGAACTGCTGCTGGTTGATGACTATATACCTAAAACGTA